ATCCTGTTTCTTTTAGTTAAAAAATTAAAAATAAACATTCAAAGAAATAAAACAAATCTGATATTATCATTACGTCTGTATGCCTGATTGAATCTTTAAACATTTCTTCCCTTTTTTGGTTCAGGCCTGTCTTCAAGTCGACAGTTAAATTTAACTTTAAAACCAACAATCTTTAAACTTGCGAAATGAATATTGAGTACGCTAACTTTACATCATTCTTACAAACAGGTATATTGCCACATGGGCATCACAAACCCTTTAACGGTTTTTTAATGTTGTTAAAATAAAACACAATATCAAAATGTAGATTATAAAAAACTCTTTAACAGCACTTTTAGAACACTAGAAAATATCTTTGATCTTTAAACATTTCATCACTTAAATCACAATTCTTTAATTGTAATTAGTGTGAAATGCAATATAAAAACATTACTTGATTGTCATACATATATCAAAGAATACCGAATTCTAGTAAACGCTCGAGCATTCAGGAAGGGACAGGATCCTTCTAGAAGTTCATGACGTGTTAGTAGGGTCACGTGACTTCCGCTGTCGTAACATTATGTTTATAATTCATTGATTTTGAGACTATCGAATCTAACATGCAATACACTGACGTCGAGAATACAGATATTTCTAGAAGGCCAAACGATTAATTGATAAAGATATAAATAGTGTGAGAGATTGAAAACAGCAGACAGAAAATAGCAGAAGAGAATAAAGTTACGGGCAAGGAAAAGCTCGGCGTGAAATTAACAACCGTAGAAGTGGTAGGCCTAATGTTTAATATGTTAGGGTAAGATTAACAGTAGAAAAGGAGATAAGAAAAATAAATTATTCTGTCAAAGCATGATTCTAAATCAACCGAATCCGCCTGAGTGCACTTTGACAAAAGGAACAGAGGCTATTTTGGAAAAAGAAGACCAAACGATTACGGTAACTCGCGCCACAATTGTAAGTGAACCACCTAAAAAGCTAGTGCGGTAGTAATGCTAATAGTAATAGAGAAGATAGTTCGGTTTGTCTACTGAAATTCTAAAGTAACTGAATAGGCCTAAGTGGCTTTTGACAACAAGAAGAAAATTATATATTATGTCGTCAAGAAATTAATGTCGCTTCTTTTAGATGAAAAAACCCGAACAACAAATAGTCTCCATTCATATCGATGATACTTTCCATCTTACAATCGGGTTGTTAATGCCCTGATTAAAGAAATAAACTTGGCTTTGAAGCAAGAAAACATATCGATGTCCTCTTTAACACCTTTCACAATTGTATACGTTTTCCCATTAAGATGGTGTTGCAGCCGAACGAAATAGATGGTAATCTGATGGTGCCATATCTGGAGAATATGGTGGATGGGGTAGAACTTTCCAACCCAACTCCATAATCTCGTGTTGCATCAAACGTGCCACTTGTGGACGTGCATTGTTGTGGAGAAGAAGAACACCTTTCCGATTGACGAGTGAAGGACGTTTCTGATGAAGGGCTTGATTTAAATGTTCCAGTTGCTAACTATAGATCTTTGCATTGACAGTTCACTGTGGATTGAGGAGTTTGAAATGAATTACTCCTTTGATGTTTCACCAAATGCAAAGCATCACTTTCTGCGGATGGAGTTCAGGTTTTGGGATCGGAAGTTGTTTTTGTCTAGGACTGACCCATTTTTTTTGCATTTAATATTCGCATATAGAATATACTTTTCATCACTGGTGACAAGTCTGTCTAAAAATGGTTCACGCGCATTATGCACCAGAAGAGACAAAGCAATATTCACACATTGGAAATGATGATCGGAGAGTTCATGAGGCACCCAAACACCTTCTTTATAGCGTTTTCCCACATTCCTTACATGTTTATGTATTGGTCATGAGAGACATGCAATTTAAAGGCCATTTCACGAGTGTATTGCGTTGAGTTAGACTCAACAAGCGTCTTCAGAGCATCAATATCAATTCCAACATGTCAGCCCCTGCTATCACAGTTTTAAGGCTAAAGTCATCTGAACGAAATTCGCTGAACCATCATTGACACTTACGATCATTCAAAACATTTCCATAAACTTTTTTGATATTCTTTGTGGCTACAGAGACGTTAGCTTCTTTCTTGTATTCAAACAGCATTACATGCCGAATGCGTGTCTCGTCGTGTGCCATCACTATAAGGGATTAAGGTATACTAAACTTTACGCATTATATAAGCTACTCTGACGTGACGTTTAGGCAGTTCGTTTAACTATTATACGTGATATACGTTTTTTGGGTGGTGGTTAATGAAAGTGTGCCAAAACGCAACAGTAATTTCTTGACGACCTAATATATAGTGTCTATGATATATCTATAATATATATAGTGTGAAGAATTTGTTGTACATATATTTAACTTGTCCGAATATATATATTATTTTCAAAACAAGTGAAGTACGTGCTGTTCATTTATCGTT